AAGTGTTCAGCCTTCCCTTAAAGTGACTGCTGAGGTCCCTTGGGAGCCAGAATGTGTTATGGGGCTTTTAGGAAGATGATTGCCTCTTACGTCTAATGAGGGAGGAAATAGCAAGCTCCCTGGACAATTATGTCATGAATTACTTTAACCCTTTCTATACTTTGAAATGTGCTGGAACACTCAGAAGCACATGCACCAAATCTGACAGCTAAGGACCATTACAGGAACACAGCCATGGAACTGCCAGGGAGGGCCACCAGAGAAGCAGAACAGCACAGCATCAGGGTTTCCCCTTGGTCACCCCTCCCCGTGGCAGCCAGTGCTACAAAGACTTCAGATGTGTCTTGTGCTACATGCAGAGAAGACCTGCAGCAAAGCTGGCCATCTGAGCAGAGCTGCTGGTCCTCATCCAGCCTCTCCCACCCTCACTGCAGCCACCAGGCTACGCCCTCCAAGACCTGGGAGTCACGGCTCACCGGTTCTTCCACGAAGGCCGCATCTTGTCCCAAGATCTCATTCAGGATCCTATGCTGCATTTCTACATTTAGTTGTGGACTTTGATACCTTCAAAGAATATTGAAGAATATTGATTGGTTATTTTGCCAAATGAATTTGATAATAGTCATTTCCTACATTATCATTATTGTGTCATTACATCAATGTTTTCCTCAGTATTATAGGTTAGCTTTTACTGTTGATTCACAATTGCTTGTAAGAGGATAGAGGTTGTGCTCTTTAGAGTCTGGCTGCATAAGAAGAGCAAGAAATTTGTGCAGTGATAGGAAACCTATTGGAGCATGTGTATGCTTACACACACACACACACAGAAACAACAAAACACACAATATCAAAAAAACAGTTCAAAAACATTCAAAAAGACAAACAGCATGGATAAAAGTGAATTATAAACCCACAGTTGACACTACTGAAACTTCTATGTAAAGTACATCTGTGACCTCTCAGCAAAATATGTTAGTACATATTAGGCCACACAAGATCAATGCCCACAAAAAATTACAAAGATTAAAATCATTTTGTAAGAAGATTTTTTTGTTATCTGCCCCAGCTAATGTCTAGCCACTGCCACTTAATTTGTCTGCTGAAACCAACTGGCCTTCACTCGGCTGAGAACCAGATTAGCTGGGCAGCTTCACAGAAAGAAAGTCATCTTTGAGGCATCCAGGTAATTGCCTTCACATTAGTGCTGCTAACAATGTGTATCCATATTTTTATATGAATCTTGAAAAACACAACAATATTATTTACATTTTGTTCATAATCTTTCATTAAATACATAAGCCCATCATCTGACAGTCAGAGGTCACAGCACCAGAGGCAGTTGTGCACATGGATCTGCGGACATTTCCAAAGCACAAGTGGAAAAGGTGTTTGGGGCCATGTGTTCTGGCCAGATCACAAACTCTGAGGCTGGAGACACCACCTAGAAGGAACGTCCAGCTGCTGGAGGCCCTGCATACTTAGGTCTCTCCAGCACACCACCAATCTTCAAATCCCAGCAGGAACTGGGGAGATGCTTCCTGTATTCTGCACATTAGGTGTGAGCCCTGTTCCTGCACACTGTGACCACTGAGATGACTGAGCACTGCAGTGTCCCCTGGGCTGTCAGCTGGGGTCTGCACCTGGTGGCCCACACCCTAAAAGGTGATGCAGAGAGCCTCCATGTTCAAAGAGCATCTCTCCTCGAATGCCCTCCCTCCATGGTAGATGGCCAGGGCACAGGGAGGGAACCGGCTCAGTTAACAACTCCACACAGCACTGCAAACAGAACCAGAGTCCATGATTCCTCATTGTCAGCAAAGTCAAGGTGGTTGTGGAGGGGCCTATCCAAATGGAGGTAATACTCTCCATGGTTTCCAAGAGCCATGGTGGGGAAGGAAGAGGCAGCAGGTGCCCGCCCAGAGCTCCTGGGGCCTCGCCCCTTCTCACCAGGCTGGTCCTGAGGCTGAGCCAAGCAGACACCAAGACCACAGAGCCACAGACTCAGCTCCTTAGATAACCAAGCGCCAGCCCAACGGCCACCTCTCCAGTCAACTCCCAAAGATGCCATGCAGGATGCATCAGTGAAGGGGAGTTCCTTCTCTGTAGGACACTCCTGTGACAGTTGGTTTACAATATCCTGAGCTCTAAGCCACTTGGGGCACAAGGGCACCCCAGTATGTAAGAGTGGTCACCTGAGCTCCCAAACACACTGAGCGACAATAGGCAGTGTGAAGATGGTGGGAATGCAAGGCCACAGGCTCCCCTTCCAAAGACTCTCTGAGCATGCACTTGGTAGGAAACTGTGTCATGTTTGGTGCTTGAAGTCAGAGGAAAAGGAAGGATTTATGATTCGGAACCCACCTGTCCTTACTCCTGCACAGCATCAACTCCATCCTGCCATGAAGCTTGGGCAGGAGGATTTGAGAAAAGGACTGAGGGAAGTCCTAGTGCCAGGGGTCAGGACATGATCTGGAGGCCTCGGCTACTCAGGAGCCCTGTCCTCAGGATCTAAAGACTTCCAACCCCTGGTCCCTCACTCAGCAATGCTGTGATTCTGCAAGTCAGCTGTCATCTGTGGGTGTCCATACCCCCAGGAGAGGAACAGGAGGCCACCCGTCCCCAGGCCATCTCACTGGGCTGCTTTCAGACTCAGGAGATGAGGCCCAACATTATACACCAGCTGTGAAGGACCAGACTCAGGTGAGATGGAAAAGCAAACCCGTTCTCCACTGCCCTGGAGGCACCCATGCCTCGCTCTGGATCCCCAACCCCAAAGGGTCTCCCTCAGTCCTTTCTCCCTGAGTGAACAGGCAGAGCGCCTCTGAAGGACCTGCCCTCCTCTCCAGGCATCTCTGCACATAGTTATTTTTGGCCCCAAACCTACTCTGTGTCAGCAGCCAACAGTCAACATGGAACACAGCAGTTGGGAGAGGAGGGGAGGGGCCACAAGACCTGTCAGGGCCTCCTGGCTCTAGCAGGGGTCTCAGCCCAGGCATCACCTGTTACTCACTGGGCCCTAGTGACCGTTGCACATCTCCTCTGTATAAAGCCACTGCCCACACAGTCCCTCTGAGTGTGTTAAGTCCACCCTGAACCCCAGGACCACCCTGAAGCCCAGCTCTGGTGCAGCTGGAGCAGCTGGGCAGCTTGTGAATGGTGGGATCAATCTTTTGACTTTGTACCAAGCAGCGATTTCTCCTTGAATTAGAAATTTTTTAAGCCCAGGTAAAATGAACCTGATGGGCACGTCCTCCAGGAAAAGCTTCTAACTTCTGCACGAGTGTCTTCTAGGCTTGATTTGGGGCCTTTGAATGGAGCAGTTTTCCATTCCACTTTCTATCTTCTCCAAGAGAAATGAAGACCCAAGAAACACTGTAGCACACTGCCAATGTCTCGGCTTGGCACAGAATCACGAGCCACCACACACCTTGTAGATTCAAACAGCAATTCTTTATTCCTGAACTCACACCGGACATCTACAAACACGTTCAGGGGAAATCCAAGTTCTGCCGCCAATTCACCTACTCCACGAGGCTTTTTCCAAATCCCATTTGAATCTCACGAGAACTCAACGGGAACAAACAGCAGGAACACCCTAATCCCAGCAGCAATAATCTTCAACCTCCAAATTCCCTAAAACCCCTATTGTCTTCAACCGGGAACACCTTAAACTTGTCTTAAACCGGGAACGCCCTAAACCCAAATTATCTTAAACCCGGATACTTCCTAAAACCTGCAGGATACACCCTAATCCTGGATCCACCCTGGTCATAGAGCAGGGTCACCTTTCTCAAACACACATGCAAGGTCACAGCAAATTTCCAAGGCAAGTCCATTTAACATTGGGTACGCTGGCAAGGAAATATCGATTCGTCATTCCTACTTGGCAATGGCCCTCAGCAGCACACGACCTGCTCCATGGTGCTTTCTTCCTTGAGTGCTGGGTGGACACACGGCCAGTGAAAACAGTCTGCACCCTGATCACTCACTGCTTAGGAAAACTGCACAAAAAGGAGGAGGGGATTCCCTGGTGGCATTCACCTGGACAGCCCTTCAGTTGCAGCTTCCTGCTGGGAGTGGGGACTGGGGTGTGGTGTGAGGAGCTGCTTCTCCAGGTAAATGTCTAGGGCCTGCTCCACACAGGGGCAATGAGCTGATTCATAGCTACGACAGAAACCCTCCTCTTAGAGATTATTTCTCTACTGATGGACTTAAGATCCTCAAAACACAACTCCCCACCCATGTTGGGCACTGAAGACACACAGAAGTTTCTAGAAGTTTTACTGATCCCACCTGCTCTGACCCGACTGACTGCTCAAGGCAGTCCCCTCCCTAGTCTCTAGCATCCTCTTCATTGTAGAAGGGACACCTCTTCTCCCCTCTCACTACCACTGTTCAGGCAGGGAGTTAGATGATAGGATAGGACTCTGGAAACACAGTGAGTTAATCCACTGGGACACCCACCGATTCCACTTTCCTATCCCACTTCCTTGCACAAGGTGTGAACACACTCGGTACCACCAAAGTGTGTCCTCAGAAAGGGCACCTAGGACCCAGGCACAGAGGTGTCCCCTAGCCCTCTGATCAGTCACTGCCTGAGGAGGGCAGACTGCACGTCCCCCCAAGGACATGGACTCCTATTACAGCATCTCTCTCTCTGCTGTGTCCTGTAACCACTCTTGAACCTAGACATGGGACCAGTCCCTGGATGGTGGGGACTGTCAGTGCCTTACAGGGTGGGGCTGTGGGTGTCACAAAGGGCCTTCCATCATGGAATCTGAGGAGAGAACTGTGGGAGGCCCTCTGGCAAGGGTCAGTCACTGGTTGGCCAGTGAGTAGCTAGGACTGTCCAAAGACATGACTAAGAAGCTTCCTCCTGTGGATAAAGCTCAAC